AGGGAGGTACAGGGGGACTGGAAGGGGGAGGGGTGATGTGGGAAAGAGGAGGTGTGTGGAAGGGGAAGGGGATGGGAGGTGGGAGGGGAACGGGATGCAGGAGGATCGGAACGGGGAGGGGTGACGTGGGAAAGGGGACGTGTGTAGGAGGGGAAGGGGACGGGAGGTGGGAGAGGAAGGGGATGCAGGGGGATCGGAACGGGGAGGGGTGACGTGGGAAAGGGGACGTGTGTAGGAGGGGAAGGGGACGGGAGGTGGGAGAGGAAGGGGATGCAGGGGGATCGGAACGGGGAGGGGTGACGTGGGAAAGGGGACGTGTGTAGGAGGGGAAGGGGACGGGAGGTGGGAGAGGAAGGGGATGCAGGGGGATCGGAACGGGGAGGGGTGACGTGGGAAAGGGGACGTGTGTAGGAGGGGAAGGGGACGGGAGGTGGGAGAGGAAGGGGATGCAGGGGGATCGGAACGGGGAGGGGTGACGTGGGAAAGGGGACGTGTGTAGGAGGGGAAGGGGACGGGAGGTGGGAGAGGAAGGGGATGCAGGGGGATCGGAACGGGGAGGGGTGACGTGGGAAAGGGGACGTGTGTAGGAGGGGAAGGGGACGGGAGGTGGGAGAGGAAGGGGATGCAGGGGGATCGGAACGGGGAGGGGTGACGTGGGAAAGGGGACGTGTGTAGGAGGGGAAGGGGACGGGAGGTGGGAGAGGAAGGGGATGCAGGGGGATCGGAACGGGGAGGGGTGACGTGGGAAAGGGGACGTGTGTAGGAGGGGAAGGGGACGGGAGGTGGGAGAGGAAGGGGATGCAGGGGGATCGGAACGGGGAGGGGTGACGTGGGAAAGGGGACGTGTGTAGGAGGGGAAGGGGACGGGAGGTGGGAGAGGAAGGGGATGCAGGGGGATCGGAACGGGGAGGGGTGACGTGGGAAAGGGGACGTGTGTAGGAGGGGAAGGGGACGGGAGGTGGGAGAGGAAGGGGATGCAGGGGGATCGGAACGGGGAGGGGTGACGTGGGAAAGGGGACGTGTGTAGGAGGGGAAGGGGACGGGAGGTGGGAGAGGAAGGGGATGCAGGGGGATCGGAACGGGGAGGGGTGACGTGGGAAAGGGGACGTGTGTAGGAGGGGAAGGGGACGGGAGGTGGGAGAGGAAGGGGATGCAGGGGGATCGGAACGGGGAGGGGTGACGTGGGAAAGGGGACGTGTGTAGGAGGGGAAGGGGACGGGAGGTGGGAGAGGAAGGGGATGCAGGGGGATCGGAACGGGGAGGGGTGACGTGGGAAAGGGGACGTGTGTAGGAGGGGAAGGGGACGGGAGGTGGGAGAGGAAGGGGATGCAGGGGGATCGGAACGGGGAGGGGTGACGTGGGAAAGGGGACGTGTGTAGGAGGGGAAGGGGACGGGAGGTGGGAGAGGAAGGGGATGCAGGGGGATCGGAACGGGGAGGGGTGACGTGGGAAAGGGGACGTGTGTAGGAGGGGAAGGGGACGGGAGGTGGGAGAGGAAGGGGATGCAGGGGGATCGGAACGGGGAGGGGTGACGTGGGAAAGGGGACGTGTGTAGGAGGGGAAGGGGACGGGAGGTGGGAGAGGAAGGGGATGCAGGGGGATCGGAACGGGGAGGGGTGACGTGGGAAAGGGGACGTGTGTAGGAGGGGAAGGGGACGGGAGGTGGGAGAGGAAGGGGATGCAGGGGGATCGGAACGGGGAGGGGTGACGTGGGAAAGGGGACGTGTGTAGGAGGGGAAGGGGACGGGAGGTGGGAGAGGAAGGGGATGCAGGGGGATCGGAACGGGGAGGGGTGACGTGGGAAAGGGGACGTGTGTAGGAGGGGAAGGGGACGGGAGGTGGGAGAGGAAGGGGATGCAGGGGGATCGGAACGGGGAGGGGTGACGTGGGAAAGGGGACGTGTGTAGGAGGGGAAGGGGACGGGAGGTGGGAGAGGAAGGGGATGCAGGGGGATCGGAACGGGGAGGGGTGACGTGGGAAAGGGGACGTGTGTAGGAGGGGAAGGGGACGGGAGGTGGGAGAGGAAGGGGATGCAGGGGGATCGGAACGGGGAGGGGTGACGTGGGAAAGGGGACGTGTGTAGGAGGGGAAGGGGACGGGAGGTGGGAGAGGAAGGGGATGCAGGGGGATCGGAACGGGGAGGGGTGACGTGGGAAAGGGGACGTGTGTAGGAGGGGAAGGGGACGGGAGGTGGGAGAGGAAGGGGATGCAGGGGGATCGGAACGGGGAGGGGTGACGTGGGAAAGGGGACGTGTGTAGGAGGGGAAGGGGACGGGAGGTGGGAGAGGAAGGGGATGCAGGGGGATCGGAACGGGGAGGGGTGACGTGGGAAAGGGGACGTGTGTAGGAGGGGAAGGGGACGGGAGGTGGGAGAGGAAGGGGATGCAGGGGGATCGGAACGGGGAGGGGTGACGTGGGAAAGGGGACGTGTGTAGGAGGGGAAGGGGACGGGAGGTGGGAGAGGAAGGGGATGCAGGGGGATCGGAACGGGGAGGGGTGACGTGGGAAAGGGGACGTGTGTAGGAGGGGAAGGGGACGGGAGGTGGGAGAGGAAGGGGATGCAGGGGGATCGGAACGGGGAGGGGTGACGTGGGAAAGGGGACGTGTGTAGGAGGGGAAGGGGACGGGAGGTGGGAGAGGAAGGGGATGCAGGGGGATCGGAACGGGGAGGGGTGACGTGGGAAAGGGGACGTGTGTAGGAGGGGAAGGGGACGGGAGGTGGGAGAGGAAGGGGATGCAGGGGGATCGGAACGGGGAGGGGTGACGTGGGAAAGGGGACGTGTGTAGGAGGGGAAGGGGACGGGAGGTGGGAGAGGAAGGGGATGCAGGGGGATCGGAACGGGGAGGGGTGACGTGGGAAAGGGGACGTGTGTAGGAGGGGAAGGGGACGGGAGGTGGGAGAGGAAGGGGATGCAGGGGGATCGGAACGGGGAGGGGTGACGTGGGAAAGGGGACGTGTGTAGGAGGGGAAGGGGACGGGAGGTGGGAGAGGAAGGGGATGCAGGGGGATCGGAACGGGGAGGGGTGACGTGGGAAAGGGGACGTGTGTAGGAGGGGAAGGGGACGGGAGGTGGGAGAGGAAGGGGATGCAGGGGGATCGGAACGGGGAGGGGTGACGTGGGAAAGGGGACGTGTGTAGGAGGGGAAGGGGACGGGAGGTGGGAGAGGAAGGGGATGCAGGGGGATCGGAACGGGGAGGGGTGACGTGGGAAAGGGGACGTGTGTAGGAGGGGAAGGGGACGGGAGGTGGGAGAGGAAGGGGATGCAGGGGGATCGGAACGGGGAGGGGTGACGTGGGAAAGGGGACGTGTGTAGGAGGGGAAGGGGACGGGAGGTGGGAGAGGAAGGGGATGCAGGGGGATCGGAACGGGGAGGGGTGACGTGGGAAAGGGGACGTGTGTAGGAGGGGAAGGGGACGGGAGGTGGGAGAGGAAGGGGATGCAGGGGGATCGGAACGGGGAGGGGTGACGTGGGAAAGGGGACGTGTGTAGGAGGGGAAGGGGACGGGAGGTGGGAGAGGAAGGGGATGCAGGGGGATCGGAACGGGGAGGGGTGACGTGGGAAAGGGGACGTGTGTAGGAGGGGAAGGGGACGGGAGGTGGGAGAGGAAGGGGATGCAGGGGGATCGGAACGGGGAGGGGTGACGTGGGAAAGGGGACGTGTGTAGGAGGGGAAGGGGACGGGAGGTGGGAGAGGAAGGGGATGCAGGGGGATCGGAACGGGGAGGGGTGACGTGGGAAAGGGGACGTGTGTAGGAGGGGAAGGGGACGGGAGGTGGGAGAGGAAGGGGATGCAGGGGGATCGGAACGGGGAGGGGTGACGTGGGAAAGGGGACGTGTGTAGGAGGGGAAGGGGACGGGAGGTGGGAGAGGAAGGGGATGCAGGGGGATCGGAACGGGGAGGGGTGACGTGGGAAAGGGGACGTGTGTAGGAGGGGAAGGGGACGGGAGGTGGGAGAGGAAGGGGATGCAGGGGGATCGGAACGGGGAGGGGTGACGTGGGAAAGGGGACGTGTGTAGGAGGGGAAGGGGACGGGAGGTGGGAGAGGAAGGGGATGCAGGGGGATCGGAACGGGGAGGGGTGACGTGGGAAAGGGGACGTGTGTAGGAGGGGAAGGGGACGGGAGGTGGGAGAGGAAGGGGATGCAGGGGGATCGGAACGGGGAGGGGTGACGTGGGAAAGGGGACGTGTGTAGGAGGGGAAGGGGACGGGAGGTGGGAGAGGAAGGGGATGCAGGGGGATCGGAACGGGGAGGGGTGACGTGGGAAAGGGGACGTGTGTAGGAGGGGAAGGGGACGGGAGGTGGGAGAGGAAGGGGATGCAGGGGGATCGGAACGGGGAGGGGTGACGTGGGAAAGGGGACGTGTGTAGGAGGGGAAGGGGACGGGAGGTGGGAGAGGAAGGGGATGCAGGGGGATCGGAACGGGGAGGGGTGACGTGGGAAAGGGGACGTGTGTAGGAGGGGAAGGGGACGGGAGGTGGGAGAGGAAGGGGATGCAGGGGGATCGGAACGGGGAGGGGTGACGTGGGAAAGGGGACGTGTGTAGGAGGGGAAGGGGACGGGAGGTGGGAGAGGAAGGGGATGCAGGGGGATCGGAACGGGGAGGGGTGACGTGGGAAAGGGGACGTGTGTAGGAGGGGAAGGGGACGGGAGGTGGGAGAGGAAGGGGATGCAGGGGGATCGGAACGGGGAGGGGTGACGTGGGAAAGGGGACGTGTGTAGGAGGGGAAGGGGACGGGAGGTGGGAGAGGAAGGGGATGCAGGGGGATCGTTGGGAGGGGAGGGGTGAGGTGTGGGGAAGGGAGGTACAGGCGGACTGGAACAGGGAGGGGTGACGTGGGGAAGGGGATGTGTGTAGGAGGGGAAGGGGATGGGAGGTGGGAGGGGAACGGGATGCAGGAGGATCGGAACGGGGAGGGGTGACGTGGGAAAGGGGACGTGTGTAGGAGGGGAAGGGGACGGGAGGTGGGAGAGGAAGGGGATGCAGGGGGATCGGAACGGGGAGGGGTGACGTGGGAAAGGGGACGTGTGTAGGAGGGGAAGGGGACGGGAGGTGGGAGAGGAAGGGGATGCAGGGGGATCGGAACGGGGAGGGGTGACGTGGGAAAGGGGACGTGTGTAGGAGGGGAAGGGGACGGGAGGTGGGAGAGGAAGGGGATGCAGGGGGATCGGAACGGGGAACCGAGGGTAAGGGGCAGCCCTTGCAGACAGTCACGTGGACATTAGTCTCTGACAAGTGCAGGAGGGGCAGCTTCTGACATCTCTGTCCCGTGTGGCCCCAGCCTCCTGCTCCTCACACCTGGTTGAATGAGGAGGGATGCCATGGAAGGGCGGGGATGGGGTTGGGATAGGGAGGGATACAAAGAGGAGTATGATGGGAGGGAAGTGGGGATGGCAGCCCTTGCAGACAGTCACGTGGACATTAGTCTCTGACAAGTGCAGGAGGGGCAGCTTCTGACATCTCTGTCCCGTGTGGCCCCAGCCTCCTGCTCCTCACACCTGGTTGAATGAGGAGGGATGCCATGGAAGGGCGGGGATGGGGTTGGGATAGGGAGGGATACAAAGAGGAGTATGATGGGAGGGAAGTGGGGATGTGGTGTGGGGGAGTAGGGATGGGGAGGGATGACATGAGGGAAAGGGGGGGAGGTGGGAGGGGAGGGGTCACATGAGGGGAAGGGAGTGCAGGGAGATCGGAACGGGGAGGGGGTGACGTGGGGGAGGAGGGTGCAGAGGGAG